CCTGCACAAAAACTGGCTCTCAATGACTTGCATACAGTTGTGTTCAATTTCAGGTCCCGGTATTGGCAAGAGAGTGGCTGGATTTAGGGCATTCGTTTGTTTTAAGGTTACTTGTGGATTGTGTCGCAAAAGGCTGGCCACATTGACTTAAAATCCTGGCCGCTACGGCTCTCTTGATGGAGGAAGCTAATAAATTAACCTTTGGACAGCCAACGACTATCTATACCAGCCAGGCAATTCAAGAAATCTTAGAAACAAAGGGCCATTTATGGTTAACAAACCCCAGGATTTACAAGTATCAGGCTCTCCTGACTCATAATCCACAAGTAACCTTAAAACAAACGAATGCCCTAAATCCAGCCACTCTCTTGCCAATACCGGGACCTGAAATTGAACACAACTGTATGCAAGTCATTGAGAGCCAGTTTTTGTGCAGGCCAGACTTAACGGACGTACCATTGAAACCTGCAGACCATAACTTATTTACAGACGGGTCGAGCTTCATTACTATGGGAGAGCGCTATGCAGGCTATGCGGTAGTTTCTCTTGACCGAGTCATAGAAAGTGGACCCCTTCCAAAAGGCACTAGCTTCCGCTGGGAGGGGCTTGCTGATGGGAGCTGCTCATTACAGCTCCCGAATCCCTGGTCGCGTTATCTGTCGGATGATCAATCCATCAGACGACTGACAGTTTGATTACCTTTTTCTTCAGGCAAGAAGATAAGGTGAGCCGTTTTGCTGAGCAAAGTGCCATCCGACCCTCGCAGTTTGTTTCTGGGAGGGGGAGAAGGCCACCTGAGGGCAGAACTGCCTCCGTGCCAGGAATTCCAGCTGTGATTTGCAGTGCGAAGCAAACTCTCTCTTCCTCAGAACAAAATTTGACTTACTGAATCCAAGGCGAGCGGGACCAGTACATGTGAACCTTTAATTGTTTGTTTTAAATCTTAGCTTCATTTTTACAAGAACTCCTTCCGACTTAACCACTAAAGAGACAGTTAAAATGGCGCCAAGCTGCTTCGTAACACTGTTTATGTTTTGAATTTCTACGGAGTTTTAAAACTTCAAAGGGAAAGGGTGATTTATCACTTTATTTTACAGCTGTAAAATTGGCCTGCAGAGTTTTATTAATTGGCTGAAGAAGAAACTTGGAATGGCCTCTAAGCCTAATCTTACTCTAAAGATGTCCCCCCCCCCCCGGCTCCTAAAGGCTCTGGCACATCGCCCGCACCTGGCACAAAACTGCAGTCACTGCTTCCTACTCCCCCTATAGGTGAACCATTAACGAAAGAATTCTTTCTGAAGGAGCTGGCTGAGGCTTTTAAAACTCAGGCAATTATGGTGGAAACAAAACTCAAAGAAGGGCTCAAAGAAGAGATATCCGTTGCGCATAAGGATCTGTCTGATAAACTTGAGACCCGGGTTCAAAANTCCTTCTGATCCAGATAGAATTGATCCAGATATTCTATCCTATCCTATTGATCCCAGCTAATTTCACCCAGCCAATTATGGGGTAGATTCCCACAAGTGTATTGTTGGGGTGTATCATTTACAAAAAAGAAAGTCCAGAAAAAAATATTAACACATAAACTAATAATAGCAATAATAATATAATAACACATGTACTAATGACAATAATTAGTTGCTATAACCAAGTAATTTTAACTGAGTTTCTTTTTACGTTGGTTTATTTACATTTTTGTTACTTGTAATGATTGTAGTTATAAACCATTACTATTTTAATACAAACATTCATAGGCTTTCTTTCTGTAATTTCTATATCTCTCTGCTTTCTTGAGAATGAAAGCAAAAGGACGAGAGCAAAGCAAAAGCCAGTGAGACAAATGATTGCAAAACAGAAATAAAGAATCCTATTTGGATAAGGATGCATTTCTTAATAATAATTACTGGTTTCATTCTCCAGGGACTTCAAATCTGGTTTGCCGAGATGTGAAAGCTCAAGGCGCTTTTGCCACTTATCGATCAGGTGAGAACTAATAACTTGTGGGAGAAGATCAGAAGCTAAGAGAAGAGGATTAGGTGGGGGGGGAAAACTCCTCTAGAACACAGATCTGTATAACCTTAATCTTTATTTTCATTTCCTTTTTCCTTCCTAGGTTTTACATCCACTTCATGTGCCTATGGAATGGCTTGTGGATCTTGGGATGTTAGTGATGACACAGTTTGTTACTGCCAATGTGTCAATATGGACTGGATTTCAGCCCAGTGCTGAAAACTGATGGTGTTTTGATGGCAGTTTGCATGCAGTTTCTGTGCTCAATAAAAGTATGAATCAATAATTCTATGAGTTGTTTTCTACTTAAATTTCCACCCAGTGTGCAGATGGAATCTGATAAATGGCTAACTGTTGAATTGTGTGTCTGCGTTGCAGTGACGTGCGGTGATGTTTATGGCTGGTGAAGCACTGGCATAGGGGTTTCAAATTTTTTTAGACTCGTGGACTTCAACTCCCAGAATTCCATAGCCAGGCATGCTCAGTTCTGATTTAAAGCAACAGCATTTGTTTTTCTCCTTTGCGAAAAAGTTTTCCTTCATTCTTTTTCTTCTTCCTCCCCATCATCCCTCCCTCTCTCCCTCCCTCCCCCTTCTCTCAAACAGACACATGCACACAGAGAAGTTGGATCCCTCTCTCACTCACTCACTCTAAACAAACACAAACACAGAAGTTGGATTGGATAAATTTTCCAAAACATCTCCTCTGCCAAACCCCCCCCCCCCGCATTCCCCTGCTGCCGTCCTATCTGATCCTTTGATTACAGGTGG